AGGACAACCAGAAGTCATCAGGAAAAGTCCCGATGATGGAAGCTCGTGCCAACTTGCTAGAGTAAGGCAACTCGAGCAAAAGGAAGACCCAGAACAAGGGAAAGCAGCCAACCAAGGTTTGGAAGTTTACCGGAACTTGTTACAATTGTGGAAAACCAAACCATATGGCTAAATACTGCAAGAGGCCAAAGAAAGCTAGGCCAAATAAAGGGAAACCGAGTGCCCTTGTGTCTGAACACGACCCTGTGCCGGGTGAATTGACCGACTTTGATATGTCGGCGGTGGTGTTTTAAGCCAATTTGGTGGATAACCCAAGGGAGTGGTACATCGATACTGGTGCCACTCGTCATGTGTGTTCCGACAAGGAGGTGTTCTCTGAATACACTCCTGCTACGGGTCGAAAACTTCACATGGGAAACTCCTCCACGTCTGATGTGGCTGGAGTGGGCACGGTGGTGCTGAAGCTCACTTCTGGAAAGGAGTTGAAGCTGAAGGATGTTGTGCATGTCCCAGACATCTGCAAGAATTTGGTCTCCGGATCACTTCTTGTTGAGAATGGATTTAAGCTAGTGTTTGAAGCTAAGAAGTTTATTCTTAGCAAATATGGAATATTCCTTGGTCGTGGTTATCTCAACAAGGGTTTGTTCAAAATGAATGTAATGGCCGTGAGCCGTATAACCGTTAATAATAAAAAGCCTATTTCTGTTTATACCGTTGAGTGTTCTGATATGTGGCATATTAGATTGGGACATGTATATCTAAATGCAATTAAACGGTTGATGAAATTAGAATTAATTCCTAATTCTAAAGTTGAAACAAATACAAAATGTGAAATTTGTATTGAAGCAAAAATGGCTAAGTTGCCTTTGCATTCGGTGGAAAAGAGTACTGAACCATTGGGCTTGATCCATACTGATGTATGTGATATAAAAAGTGTGGAAACAAGAACCGGTAAAAAGTATTTTATAACTTTTATCGATGTTTGCACAAGATTTTTGCTACTTATATTTGTTAAGAAGCAAAGATGAGGCTGTGGAAGCGTTTAAGATATATAAGACCGAAGTTGAAAATCAACTCGGCAAAATGATTAAAATAATCCGAAGTGATAAGGGTGGGGAGTATGTAGCTCCTTTTGAACAAATATGGCATGAATATGGCATAATTCATCAAACGACAGCCCCTTATTCTCCACAGTCGAACGGTGTTGCTGAACACAAAAATCGAACTTTAAAAGAAATGATGAATGCCATGCTGATTAACTCAGGATTACCACAGACATGTGGGGGGAAGCTGTTTTGACAGCAAATTATATCCTGAATAAAATACCACCTAAAGGGAAAGATGAGACTCCTTATGAAATGTGGAAAAATAGTAAGCCATCTTATAAATACCTGAAAGTGTGGGGGTGTTTGGCTAAGGTTTCAGTACCTGAACCAAAACAAATGAGAATCGGGCCAAAAATGGTCGATTGTGTATTTATTGGATATGCGTACAATAGTACAACATATAGATTTCTGGTTCATAAATCAGAAAATCCAGAGGTATCTGTTGGTACTACGATTGAGTCAAAGAATGCTATATTCTTTGAGAATGTTTTACCTATGAAGGAAATGGCAGAATCTAGTTCTAATAAAAGAACGTATGAAACTGCTAGTGGTTCTGTACCAGAAGGTAATAATGAAGAACCGAGACGTAGTAAAAGGGTAAAAATGACTAAAACATTTGGACCTGATTTTATTACGTACATGTTAGATGATGAACCGAGTTCCCTTAAGGAAGCTCTGTCCAGCCCAGATGGACCACTCTGGGAAGAAGCTGTAAATAGCGAAATTGAGTCCATTATTCAAAATCATACTTGGGAGTTGGTTGATCTCCCAGATGGTTGTAAACCTTTAGGATGCATGTAACACCCCTCCTTATCGTAATTCAGAGTGCGCAAAAATTCG